AAATGTGAGAACCTTTGGTATTGAGAGGAAAATTCCTTTCCCTTTGAAAGGAAAGAGGTCATCTTTATAAAAATCAGCACTGTGTAAGGGCATTTGTTGCAAATTCTGAAAAGGTGTGAGAACAAAACACTCCCATCTGAAAATTTTCTTCATTTGGAAATCAACTAATCCCTTTGGTTTATCTTTCGGCAAAACTTGAATATAGTGGAACATAAAATATTAGTTCTAAACTTAATATGGATGTTAGTGAAGCTAACTAGGATTTAGATTTGTAAAAAAAGCACAATGAAGTGATGTTCTAGATAACAAGTTGGTCTGAGTCCTTAGTCTACAAAACACATCTATAAAAAGTTTCTTGATATATGATCAATTCTGATATTTTTGACTAGCTGGTGCCTTTCTTATTCAGAAACACCTACATCTAAGCAGTAAGAGAAAATCCATGAGCAATTCTAAAAATTTAGCCTGCAATGCTCTTGCTAATTTTGGAGAAATACTTCAGTGTTCCTTAGTTTGAAAATGGACACTTACTTATTCTAGGGTAACCATTCTATCTTTAGGTCAAGAAACACACAAAAGCAGATTTTGCAAGCTGGAAGCAGACTGCAGCTCTGTGTTACACAGGTGAGAAAAGAATTAATAAACTCATACAAGCCTATCTTTAGATTAATACCTTCAGCTGAAACCTGCCATAACATGTAGTTTTGGCTTATGGGCACAAGCAAGCATAAATGCATTGTTGGAACATGGCTGGGAAAGCATCACCAGGACTAGCCTTTGAAATGAGATGTAAAAAATGTTGAAAGTAACATTTTAATGTTTCCAAGGTCTACAGTTTAAGCTCTTTCTTTTTTCCCCTAAAAATACACATTTGTAATTACTCCTTCTACTGTTTAATTAATATTCAGGAGATGTACTAAAAGGACACCACAAAATTTATTAATTCACTTGATCTGATCCCCTCAACATCTACGTCAGAAGATAGTCTATCACTTAACCAAGTTCAACACAATTCATAAAATATCTTGGACTTACAAGCTAACCTAACCTTGACCTCATTCTCCTTTTTTTTTCTAAAAGATATTCAAAGTGTTATCAGATGAACTTTAGAAAAGAGTTTGGATAGAAATGCGCATTTAGTGATCTGTTCTTAGTGGCTTAAGGGGAATTGCATGATTTCCCAGAATGCAGAAAACAGACAATTTCTGAAGTATGTTTTAAAATATGTGTTTTTCTATTTATAGCTAAAAAGGTACTATTTGAATGAGACCTACATGTCTAGGAAGGTATCTCTTACATTGTCAGGAGAGGAAAATTGAAAATTTAAGTTCCTCATATATTTTTGTTGATTACGGCATGCATGGCAGTTGAAATCTGAAGATAAGTGTCTCTCTATTGAAATTTATTGCTAATTGAGTTTGATTTTTCAGTCTTGGTTAATTGATTAACATTAATGGACCCATCTGCTGCATCGATACATGGGGAATAACAACAGCAAGAATAAGCACTGTGAGAATAGTGTGAGACACTGCAAACATGATTGTTTGTGGGAGCAATTAACTTTGAGATTGTACTCTACACTATAAAAGCTAAGTTTGTGTCTGTTTACATTTTTTGAGTCTTTATACAATTTAAAACAAATGCATTAATCAACTGCTACTAGTGTAGTGGCTGACATAATTGTCAAATCATTGGTGAGGTAATTTTGTGAGTTTATTTCCCACACACAGATGTGTCTTCTTAATTAACACTAAGCTTGGTTTGCAACATCTGGCTTATAAGATCAGGGGGCCACACAGAATATTAAGAGCTTCCTAGGTTAATCTTTCCATGCCCATTTCAAACACATCCAATTTGTGTTTGAAATTCGTGTGAATTGAGCTTTGAAATCTACAGAGGTATGTGGCATCAAACTCTTAAATTTACTGAATAGTTGTCACTTTTTTCCCCTTTGAAATTAAAAAGTCTCTGGAATTGTACATTAGTATAAGTGCAGTAAAAGAGCTAGGGAATTTGAGAAAGTGCTTTTTAAAGGAGTAGAGTATTTACACAGAAGACTGTTTTGGTTTTGAATCTAATACATAATGACTGTATAAATTAAAAGTTTAGGTTCCTACTGAAGCATTCATCGGATGCAACATATGTTTAAATACTCTTGAAACCAAGGTTTTTTGTTCTAATGTCCAGGCTTTGGCTGGGATAGGGTTAATATTGTACACAATAGCTGGCTGGCATGGGGTTGTGTTTTATATCTTTGCTGAACGCTGGCTGGACAACACAGTCAAGGCCTTTCTGCTCCTCACCCATCACACCAGCACAGAGGCTGGGGCAGCACAAGGAGTTGGAAGGTGACACGGTCAGGACAGCTGACCCCAGCTGACCCCAGTGAGATCCCAAACCATGGGCATCATGCTCAGCGTATCAAGCAGGGGATAAGAAAGAGGAACTGGGGCACATTTTGGGTTACATTGTCTCCCTTCCCAAGTCACCACTACACATGCTGAAGCTCTGTTTTTCTGTCACCATTGCCCCTGCCTAGACAATTTCGGGCTGTGTATGGCCCTTGTTCCCTTATCTGAGCTTGGTCCTGGACCCCACTGATGTCCCAGTCCTGCCTCAGCATGTCACTATAACCAGGGATATCCCCCAATGCCCAAAGACTGGGTCTGTCCTGATGCCCCACCTGCTCCCAATCCCTGTCCTGACAAGCCCTAGGGGAGCACCTGATATAACCAATGGCCAGAACACAGGGTCAGCTGCATCCTGAAGTTTTGTGTCTGCAAACTAGGTACATTCTAATCCCCACCTTCTACTGAAATGACAAAATTTTCTTTTCCTTTCAAATAAATTTCTTTTGCATAATCATTGTAATTAATAGGCTGAAGTCTACAGTAGTATTTTTGTACTCTGATGATGAGAAAAGGCAAGTAAATTTCTTTTAAGAACAACTGTAAAAAATGGTTCTTAAAAACCGCACCAGTCCGTACTCAGCAATATGCATTGATACACTCCAGTCTTCCTTAAAAAACATGGCAGAGATATTTGCTTTGTAATACTTCATGATCTTTCAGTACAAACCCACTAATCAGCTGCCAAACACCTGAAGAATAAAATGCAATGAAAAATACATTTATTTTCTTTTTGCCACTAAGCAGTGCAATTAAAACACTTGGCAAAAATCTTGCTATGACATTAAATAGTCCCCTCATCATTCACGTGTGAATCCCATCAGGTCACCTGGATATATGTCCCGTTGATTTAAAAGTTCCCTAATCTGATGCTCATCTGCCTTTCTTCAGACTTTCTCCTACAGGACATGAATAGGATTCCTGGAGCCCAGTTATCAATAAAGAAACGGCAAAGAAGGCAATTCAGTCTTTCCTGAATCCTTTGTCACCAGTTTTTCCCCATTCAGCATCAAGCCTACATTTTCCTAGGTCTTCCTTTTGCTGCTGGTATTCTTGTACAAGCTTTTGGTTTTGCCCTGCATGTCCCTGCCAGATTAATCTCCAGATGGGCTTTGGCTTGTTCCATATCTATGTAGCTGGATTTTTTTGTCTGTACTCTGCTCAGATCACCTGGCCATGCTTCTATCTCTTGTATACCTCCTTTTAATGTTTGAGTTTTGTCAGAAGTATCTTATTAATCTATTCTGGCTTGCTGACAGTTGATTTCCTGCTTATTAAGATGAATCATTCTTTGGTTTGGAGGAGGTGATCCCTGAAAAAAGTTGGCAGTTCTAGAAAATCATGAAAACTGTGCTACTGCAAAGCCACTTATCCCTGGTTTGCACATGCCCAGACTTCCATGACGCCTCTGGACAGAAAAGAAGTGACCTATTTCAAAACAAAAGCATTTCTGAAAAGGGCCTAGGCCAGCAGTTGGAAAGCAGAAAGGCAGGAAACAAATCCAATCCTCATGAATTATTCAGGACACAAATTGAAATGAAACTGTATTCCATAATGGCAGCTGACAGGCCAAGCAGTAGAATGAGAGATACAGTAAAGACCAAGAGAGAAAAAACCAGGTTCATTACTCCAAAGTACACACTCATTTTCACCAGACTGGTAGGAAAATTGTGTTTTCATAAAACCGCTTTGCTTTCATTTGTGCTCTAGTCACACAGGACCTAGAGATTAAAGACCTGTTTGGTGTTTGTGTGTTTGCATCAATCAAGAGAGGCAGAGAAGTCCCTCAAAATTTTTTTCAAGATCTTCTTAATTTAAGAAACACAGAGTGGTCCAGAATATCAAAAGAACCTTAGACTGTTCTTTTCAGCATTTGTCTTGAAGTGAATTAAAATTTTTTAAAAATTTGGCATCTACTTCACGAATTCTATAATTTCTAAACAGAAATGTGTTTCCAAATGCTGAGTTCCTAAGATAATGATCAAGTTGCCATGGCTTAAAAAATTACCGTGCTCCTACTGAACCATCATTCAACTGAACCATCATCCTTTGTTCTTTTAACTCATGTCTCTTTCAGACTCCTCTTTCAGAATGATGCACCTTAACTTTCAAAGGTTCTTTGACAATGCCTTTTCACATATACTGAAGGTGAACCAGAAAGTCACTTGCTAGTGTTTTCATAGCATAAAGATGAATGTTTTCACCCAGGAATACACCATGAAGATGTGTGAGGGTACATGACAAAGTAAGATATGGAGTTGTTAGGCAGAAGAATGACATCTTATGTGCCTTCTGTCCAAACTGTCTGTACAAAGGTTCAGATATAGTCTTATACCAGTATTGAGCTGGTTTGTTGCAAAGGAATTCTGGCTTCAACAAAATATATATCCAGTGTGGACAATGCCATTATATTTTATATCACTTTTCATGCAAGCAAATAAAGTATAACATCTCTTTGTCTGGAATGAAGATGTCACATTTTCTATTTGAAATTATCAGGACAAAAGATTGGTGATTATTTCATTACAGAGAAAATTATAGTAATTTTTCATCAAGAATGTATGATAAAATGGGTAGAGAAATACCTCTTACCTAGTGCAGGTCCCACCATTGTGACATGGATGATAATCACATATTGGAACATTGCAATTCTCAACATTCCTTCCATCAAGAGCCTCGTCTATGATGAACAACTCTTTGTGGTTAACTTGAAAATCCCTAATGCATCCTTTATAGCCATATATCTGCCCAGCACATTGATGAACCTCCTCGTGAGCAGGCACCTTTCCGAGGAAAATTGATCCAAAGGTGACCTGCAGAAACAAAATGAGGTTTGTCAGAAAAAAATGTGATTTCTGGTGTTTTTGTAAACAATGAAAGAATAATAGATACTGATAAAGGAAATAATAATTTCTTGAAGATGGCAAAAACCTCTGATACTTTCTGAAACGATTTTTTCAAAAAATGTTATTCTCTATTTTTTTTTAATAATCCTTACAAAGAGGATGGTTTAATGTATTTTCATATTTTCAAATACATAAGAGATAAAACACAAATTGGAATTCCCAGTCTTAACCACAGTGAACCACAGTGAACATGGTAAGTTTTTAACATAGCTGCCCTCATCCTATGAGTTGTACATTCATGGCTGAAGTTTGGTGCAGGAACACAGGAAAAGCTGTAGACTTGAAGATATTTCCTTTAGGACCTGGGACCTATGGGGCCCCAAGATAAGGGGAATACAGAAAAAATATTTTAGTTTTTCTATGAATGACAGAAAACAGACTGCTATACTGAAGCCCAAGGGGAAAAACAAAAGGAAATTTTCAAATTTTCAAATTTTCCTTATAAAGGTGCAAAGAAACAACCACAACTTTTTCACACAGGGTCTGACCAAATCATATTAGTGTTCATTATGGTAATTCCTCTATTGCCTGACCTAGGATTCAAGCCCTTAATCATCATATATAAAGGATCTGTGACTCGTTTAACACTCTGAATTCCACTCCTTAAGCTAATTCCTGACTTTCTGAAATTCTGACATGGGACTTCATCATTCCTAAGTTTATTTGCTAAGTGCCTGCCAATCCTTAGGAATTGAAAAAAACCCCCATAGTTTCATCACACAGTGATGCACCTATTTGTACAATACCATTATTCCAGAAAGAGGGTGACATCTAGCCCATTCAAGTCAAGCAGGAATAAACCAATGGAATCAGAAATATATCACAGCATATGTAAAACATGTGAAGGTGTAATTTACAGTGAAGAGGCCCTTCACTATCATATTCAGATGCCTGTAAAGAAGTAGAAACAGGAGGAAAACATCCCATTGATTTATCTGGAATTCACACACCCATATGGTTTTTGCTTTTCTTCTGTTTCCACTATTGCTTTTGTCAATCTTGGAGCTATGTTGATGACAATTTCAAGTGAAATTTGGTGATACAATGAATGTGAATACTGCCAGATATTCTTCTACTTAGTGTCTTTCATTCTGAAGGGAAAAAGAAAAACACCTACTTCTTTTAGAGCATGGATAAAATTAAATCAGATTTTTCATATCAAAGGAATTCAAAGACATTGGCTCTGCACTTGCTGAATTCATTTCAGATCACTTGACTTTATCTCCCTTCAAACAAAGCTATGAAACAACACAGTGATGGAGAAGATTTGTAAGTAATGTTTGCAGACATTTTCTCTCTGCTTGTGAATCTCTTTCAAGAATTAAGCAAAGCTTTGGACTGCATTATACAGTTTCTGTGATTAAGAGCAGTGTTTTTAACACTCCCCTTGCAACACAATCTCCTTTATTATTTAGCTTATTTTACAGAAGCACTAACCTTGGGGGCATACCCAGTGTGTATCACAGAGAAACTTCAGTAGGTTTTGCTCAGTTTCTAGCATCGCTGGATTTTATCATAATGTATTTGATGTACAAGCTCATGTTACTAACCATAATACACATTCTTTCTGTAAAGGTCCTGTTCTGAATTTAACTGACTTAACCAGAATATATTTTATGGAGGCACAAAGAAAGAATTCCAGTAAGTCTTGTTAATAACATAAAAGGCTTAATATAGCGTTATATCAATAACTTATGCAATACTCATGTTTAACCTTTCAAATACTAATTTGAAAATATCCTTCTTCACTTCGAGACTGAGTGGTAAAAAGGATTATCTTGGGCAATAATGGGAAGATATTCATTAGTCCTCTTAAAGATAAGAAATGTCTTTTTTTCTCACTTTGATTGTGTACTGTGTAAATAGAGGTTCTGGGAGATTAGGAGCAGATCTGTAAAGTGTAATAGTTAGTCATGAGGATTTGATATTCATACTACATACCACACAAGGGAAGAAATTCTGTTACAAACCAGCAGTGCATACTAGGAGATGCACATCAAGATAAGCATCTCTACAGATAACTGGCCTGTCTTCTAGTGAACAAACTTATGAAACAAGTTGTCAATCACAGTTCAAGCCCTTGACTAAAAGTATTTTAAATGTTTCATGCAGAAATAATCTTGCAATGAGAGAATGCATAACAAAGACAATAAAATGAAGACAAAGAATAACTGAAAAATTCAAGATTTGGGAAAGGTGACCTCTTGTCCATTCAGAATGAGTCTCCTGGTATCAGTTTCAAAATGCATACAGTTGTTTTTCCAATATTATTCAGGAGCAAAGTCCTAGTAAAAATACTGATACCAGATTAAATCACTGATGATTCATAACTGTCCTCCACTAGACAATGTGGCTTGCAACTAAAAAGTAACTAGAACTACTGCTTAATACTATCTGAATTGTTTCTAATAACCCCTTGGCCTTCGGTAAATGACACTGCTAACATACATTTTTATAACTATCATAGCATCCATGTCCTTTTTATAGACTTTGTGCAGTAGGAATAGAATCTTCAGCCAAATAAAGTAAGAAATTAATGATATGTTGCGGTTGCTGGATGTGAAAATACCTGTTAGAAAGAAACTAAGTACATATAATGATATCTGAAGACGAATTGCATTTCCTCCTTTAGAAGAAGTTAGAGTGTTAGAGTTTATGCTGATGAAATGTTCAAAGCAAACAGCTATTTTTTGATGTTTTGCAGACTCACCTGAGATACTCGATGCGAGAAGGAAAGCCTGTGCTGTACAGGAGGGTTTCTGTCCGCAGCCACTTCAATCATGCAGTAACCTTCAGGACTGCCCACAGGCAACATGTAGCTGTAGGGAAACAGAAGATCCCGTTGCTGTTTATACTCTTGGTCACAGAGTACTCAAACCCCACATGGCAAAGGTAAGGTGAAAGAGATGGTCACACTTCCATAAAGGATGAAAATCTCTGGACACTACTAATTCCAGTTTCATGGCTATTGAACTACCCAGGAACAAAAAGATGTAAGTTTCATCTACTAATGTCCCGCTTCTGTTTGCTTTCTTGACTAGTGTTTGAAATACATACCGAGAAAAAAAAGAGAAAAAATCTTTAAATATTTAAGTGGGTATTGATAAATTTGAAGTGCTAACTGTGGTTGACATACAGTCTCTCTAGCACAGAGGACTGTTGGACAAGTGGCATCAATGTTGAATGATGCTGAACAGCCTGGGCTGAAATTTCCTTTTCCTGACCTACAGGGGGAACAGAAATGGAATAAGATATGAAAGGCTGCATACCTCTGAGCAGAAAAATTACACTGTGATGTAGTTATCACTACTTGTAAAGTGTGTTTGAGCAAACTCTGGTATTGAGCCTCAGAGATAGAGAAGAATGTAAAGTTAAAGTAAACTGACCTTAAAGTAAACACTACTGAATGTTTAATAACTGAATTCTTCAGTTTCTTTCTGTGATGAGATCTGATAAAATGCTATTAATATTATCACCAATAAAAATTCAATTTAAAAAAGGATGATTTTCAAAAACACTGGTTTTATATTTAGAAAGGAAATTTACATAAACATTATTACAGCAAATGCAGAATAGGACAATAGTTGTTGACTGATTCTTAAAAACAGATCCCTTCTGTTTCTATAGACATGGTTTCAAATTCAATTTTCATGTGCTGTAAAAGAGAATGTGATTGGGAAGCATGTTAAGGTTTACTGACTACATGTACTCTGCATAGGAAATTCTGCTCAGCAAAGTCACCCTAATTTGGTTTCTGGGGTATGGCTTCTAACAAAAACAATGTTGCATATTTTATATAATATTTCACAAATGTTACACAACCAACTTTAAAAATGTTTCTGCAAAAAAGTAATGTATTTATATGGATTGTCAAATTTTCCATTTCTTTTAGCTGGATAAATGGTAAAGGACAATAACAGGAATCTCATAAATTTTTTTTTGTTCGGATAGATGAATTTTTATGTTAGGCCATACACATATGAAAGGGTTAAAATATTTTAAAGCCCACTACAATCTGTACACTAGAAACACACATTTCTAATCATAGAAATTACTTCAGCATTGGCAAGGACAAATTCACTCCTGGAGAAAACACATCAAGATGTACCATAGTCTCAAATGGTACCTTTTTATATATATCACCGTCTGGTTGGTTGTATGCAGCTGCCATGGCATGATTATTCCAGGTTATGCCTTGAGCTTTGTGTCTCTGCTCCTGTGTCTAAAGTCTTACTATTTCATCCTCCTGTCTGGAGACTCGTTATGAAATTTAGAGTCTCAGTTTTCACCTCTGAAGTTGCTGGGAACATTGTATTGACATAAATGGATACAGTATTGTGCCCCTAATGATATTTATAAATTCACTGCAGTGCAGAGATTTCTGTGCAAGCAGCACAAAACCAGTCATCTTAAGGCAGCACATCCACATCAGCAGCTGATGCTCACATATTAATAAATCCCACCTTTCCAATGGTTACTCCTGGTTCACAGCTAAATCAGTCAATACTAATTCATTGACTTTTCACTGTACTCCAATGCATGGGGTTGAAATGTGCTAAATTAGTTCTACCTTGTAAGTAAGTATGTAACACTTATTTTTGAATCCTTCTTTAAAAGTCTGAGATATTTGAATAGCATTTTCTATTATCACCTTCTAAAATGTGATCTAGACCCCTAGACTATTCAAATGAGTTTGAAAAATGTTTATTTTTATTTCTAATTTTAGGTTAAAAGGAGCCATGTTGTCAAGGTATTTTGAACTGCATTCCTTCTTGAAAAGTCTAAAGTTAGCATAATATTTTGATTTAGAATATAGGGAGCCAGAAGCAGTGCCTGCTGTTTTGAAGACCATCTGATTTGCACAATTTCATTATAAATTATGAATTCAGTAAACAGAAGTTTCTCCTTATTAAACAATGGGTATATTGACAGAGAGTCAGTGATGTTCTTTTTAGGTACTTGAAATAAGGAGAGTTTTGGAGAAAATACTTCCACTATTGTGTTTTCCAACCAATTTTTGAAATGTAAAATATTCTTTGAATTTGATTTATTATTCCTACTCATATTTCAGCTGCTGGAAATTATCTCAGCAAATCAGAATGTATAAAGTTAAGTTTCTCAGATAATAGAAAATCAACTAATTTAAGATTCTGTCTTGGGGGAAAAAACCTCATAGCCTTGATGCTTTGTACTCTGAGTGGATACTGTAGTAGAGACCTAACATAGCAAAGCCTACCCTCTGCCCCTGCCTTGTCCCTGATTTTCAGAAAGAAGTCTGAAATTATTTTTCTAAATAACCTCTGAAGTTATTTAGAAAGTCTGCGTATTTCTTTTTCTAAATAACCTCTTATATCACATATTACAATGGTCCAGCCCACAAAGAACAAAAGTTTAAGTGAAGTGGCAAAGTTAATTAAAAAGAATGCTCATCTAATGAAAAATAAAAGAACAGTGAGGTCTGTGTCAGTGCGACCATCTTCAAGCAATTAGCCATCCATTTAGCATTGTAAACTTCCATTGCAATGCCTGGTGTACACACATTCTCACTGCTTTGTACACATAATTTCTATTGTTTTGATCCTTTACCAGAGGAAAAATGTGGAAGATTAAACACAGGTGCAACTAAAATAATCCTTAAAGGCTGCTTGATACTGACAAGTTCTTTACTTTTGATAAGTTCATAATTTTTGGTCTTTATTTAGACAAGTCCAAGTATCATAAATTCATTTAGATAATAACACAGTCATCCCTACTCAGGCATGTCTGGTAATCCATTCTACCTTTAAACAAATATGTGAGAAAAAAGAAAATCCAAATAAAATCCCTCAGCATCCATAAACAGCTGCTTATTATACAGCAATTTTTATCATTAGATCTTAACTTCACAAAGGATATAGACGTGTTTTACTTTTTTTTAATATGCAGCAATGAAATCTCACAGAGTGGAACAGATTTGTTTGATGTCAGCCAATAGATTAGTGACTGAATTGTGAGAATAAAACCACAGGCTACAAGCAGAAACCTACTGCCCTGTATTCTGGAGTGCATGTTAGGAATGCACACCATGCTACTGCTCTTTTCTTCAGCATTTGCTACCTTCTCTGTAAAGATTTACAATGCATTAATACTTGAAATTTCTCTCTGTCTTGTCATAGGATGGAAAAACTCATTTGAAATGTGAACAAAATGGATATGTTTCATGCTTACATTACCACAAAATTAGGACTGTTTGAATTTGCTAGATTACTTAAATATGCCTAGAATAGCTTTTAGAAAGAGACAGAGTATGGAAAATTACAGTCCAAAAGACAGATTTCTTAGAAAATTATAAACATATGAGAAAATTGCAATTAAACCATAAATGCTGTCTCAGTCTTTATTATAGCATTTAAACCCAGAAAGTGCTACAACATGGACACATGCAAAATATAATCACATTAGTTTTTTGAAACAATGGAACAAAGAAGGGACTTGAAATACTCTGTCACAGAAATTACCTGAACTAAAGTACCATTAATGTTTCTCTATAACCTGGTTATAGATTTCTTATAATCTATGTTTAAATCTGTCTTAATCTTGCAATTGAATAAATGCAGTTGTATCCATGCACTTCATAGAAGATTGAAATCCATTATCCGCATTAGAAAAGAGAAAATGAAACTGATGATTTATTCTCTTGACATTTTTTCTTTATTTTTCTAATTAACCTCATATTATGAGATACTGACCTCACATTAAGAACACCTGAGATGAAAGTGGCTAATCACTGACATCTTTAAATTTTGAAGTATTTTTAGTTCAGTGGTGCTTTTTCACTCGTTTAGATGCTGAAGGCATTTCAGTCCATCTGCCTCGCATCTCAGTGGCATATTCCGGCTGCATTTAAAGCCAGCATATTTTTCTCTCCAGAGACAGTGACAGGAGAGAATGCAATACGATTCCTATTGCAGGATAATTTTGTCAGGCAGCAGAATTGTGATTCATACTCATCACACTCATAACGATATAAAAAGGATTCATAGGGAAGTAAAGAATTGGGTGTGCGAGGAGTAGTTATGGGAAATGTGTATATGTGGAGGACATATGGGCACAGTAATCTGAACAGGTCTGGAGCCATGTGAAGCCCAACCTGTTCCTGGAGATGCTAAGATAGGCCTGATGAATTCAAGCATTTATTGCCGTGAATTTGAAATGTGATGTTCAGCCTTCTTATTTGCTCTTGGCTTAAAAAATCATGATTTTTTCATAGTTGCTGTGGATTTTATATAAAGTTAAAAACCAGAATTGCAAAGGATTTACTATTGTTTTTTTACAAAAGACTCAAATCTCAACAGGTGCAAAACAGTATTTATATACTGTGTCATTACTGGTTACATGTTGATTAATTGTGTGCATAAACACTGGATTTCTAACAAAGTGCAATGTGTACCTCACACACTCAGGATACAATTGTGGATATTAGGTATTGGATTACTTTAGGTCCAGAACTAACAGTTGAAGAACTCCTCTTAAGACAGCTAAGATTGGGGCACCTCTAAATCAAATGTTACCTGCTATGATCTTGCTCAAGTAGCTAAGCTAAGCTAAGTTTTAGCTTAAATAATCATAGACTACTTCTCCAGCTGGAAATAAAATCATACCGTTTCTTCTTTCAAGCTAGTCACCAGATGGCACTAAAGGAGCACAGTAAGAAAGCATGAACTCAAAATCCCTACTAATGTCTCTTCTAACAATTGGAAAGTCTGACTTAAGCTCTAATTGATAGCATGATTGCTTCAGCTTCCAGTTATATCAAGGGAAACATAGTAAAGTATCTTAA